AGTCCAAGAGCAAGAATCGGCTTTAATCGTATTAACTGTGATATCGTCTGTCAGTTTGTACTCATGAATCGAGAATTTCTTTCGGCGCTCAGATGTGAAAGATGTTTAGTGTCTTGCATTTCAGTAGACAGAAGGAACTAACATGTCTTTGTTAATGCGATCTCCAGAAGGTCACTCTCCGAGTGCAGCTGAACGATTCTGCTCGCAAAGACGAACGAGGTCCACTTCTGGTTACCTTCACCAATCAAAGCTCTGATGCGATCGCGTCCATCGAACGTCTGCAGCTCGTGAGAGATATTAATGTCTCCAACAGAAAAACAAAACTAGATCCTAGAACGAGCTACTTTATTCAAAAAACATCACGACTATAATTTGCAGTGTTTTTCGCCGACAAAGGATTCTAGAAAAGGTACAGAGGCTCCGAGTGAAATCCTCTTCACAGTAGACTCCCGGCGTGGTTCGTTGGAATGATATCTTTCGTAGCTTGTCAGTCTAAATCAAGTCAAATCGGAGTAAGTTGTCGCTGCTGGATGAGTTGCAAGGATCCTGTCTGTACTCTTGATGTAGCATATCGCTCCTCTGCTAACTTTGGGTCGGATTCTCGACGTAGTTGGCGATGTATGCAGCAGTATTGTTGTCATATATCTATTGCAGAGTGTAGATTTGAGGTTTATTGCAAACAGAGCTGCGTGAGGTTGAACTTGCTGACACCAGCTGACTTTCCGCTTGCTCCTGATCGTTATTTTGGAGAAAAAGAAGGTTTTGTGTTTCTCCGATCGACTCATGATCGCTGTCTTAATTTTTTTCTTTCAGAACCATATTCGCAGAAATGTCACGGAGCCAACCTCCATTCGCGAAGCGGCTCGATGACAACCTATACGCCCTAAATGAGAGAGCTGACTTCGCTATGTCCATCATCTTTTTCCACGGGCCCTGTAATGATGGAGAGGAAATAACTAAAATGTATCTGCGCGATTGGGTTTCGACCTCTCAAGATGATAGCGGTGCCGAAGTTCTGTGGCCAACATCTTGGCTGGCGGAAGACGTGGCAGGTGCCCGGATATTTTCTGCCACTTACGATCTTAGCCTGAAGGTTACATCGACAAACGGGAGACAAGATTACTACACAATAGGAGAAAACTTGTTCGCCAGCATATTCCTGCATGCAAAGGAGTACGAGATGTGGTCAAAACCCGTGGTCTTGGTGGGTCATTCTCTTGGAGGAATCGTTATTAAGGAACTTCTGCTAAAAGCTCACCAATTTATGGGGTCCGGAAGTGGCGTACACTACAAAGGAAGGGTAAAGCAGTTCCTGGCCAACATCATCCTGATTTACTACTACTCAACGCCTCATTCTGGCATGACACTTCGCGTGAAAGGAGATTCGGATGGCCCCCTAAGCCTTACTAGCCTCCGGAGTTCAATATGGGAAAATCCCAGAATTATGAACGCGTACCTCTCACGGATACAGCAGGAGTTCAGGCAGTTATCTAGCTTGCACAGGGAATGGCGGAAGGCAACCATTGGAGAAAGTTCTATGACTAAGTGGGTATGTTCTTTTCCCGGTATCTAGATTGCTTTCGGATGACATGTATGGCCATTTTAAATTGTATGCACGTCAAATGCAAAAGTTTCTCTACTGCCAGGAGTTGACTTAGAAATCCCTTTCTTCTTTCCCTCGCTATGTCTCTGTGCGTTTTTGGTGCTCCCCTCCCTATGAAACATAAGTTATGTTTTGTAGAGGCTCGTATGCTAATCAGGGCTCCGAAAGATTAAGAGTAAAGTTGGATCGTGCAAGCATTGCTGTCTTCAATGCTGGTAACTATGAGGACCATATTCTCCGTTTACCTCGAGTCTCTACTAAATCCAGCGCAAAAGAGCATAGGGCCATAATCGCAATAGATTAAACATTCTGATCTTCTTGTTCGGCCCCGATCACGTGAGTAAATGTATGTGGATCTGCAAAGTTGGTCGACGCTAGGAAGGAGGATTCATCGCCAATGGTTCATGTTACATGAACCATTGATACATGAATCATGAGGTGAACGGAGGTGATACATGAATCATGTATCACCTCGTTCGTTGCCAGTGTTGGTCTCAGACAGTGTTCTAACTTTGAACTGGTCGCTCGATGAATGTCTTTCTGTTCGTGTTCTGATTACTTTCGAATTGAGAATATGATGGTGGGCCTCTCATTGACGCACACGATTCTCCTTGATGCAGGATCTAGTGGGAATATACGACGTGCTGGTGCCGGAAGCATCTTGGAGAGGCGGCGATTGTGACAGTTGCATGACAGCGGACGCTGACCACTTCTCAGTGTGCAAACCGACTAGCAAAACCAGCAACAGTTACATTGATCTCCTGAGCCAGATTCAGGCTTGCCAAAATGAGAAGATTCAGCTTCTAATCGCCGATCACGTTCAGGACGCAGTCGCCAGATTGAAACTCTTGAGAGAAGCCTCCTTGAATAAGTTGCCCAGTTTAGACCCGGCCTCGCTCGTAGATCTGAAGGAACGATTGAAGAACGGCCCTGTAGAATTCAAAACTCAACTTTTTGATTCACCAGGATTCCTCCAGGACCTCGTCCGCCTCTTGAGCGAAGAAGGGCGGGATAAGGGATGGGATGCCGATGGCCGGATCCGTGCCACCACGGCATATATTATATATTATCTGGCACGCGAGAAGAAATTGAGGGCCCAGATCGGCCTATATCCAGAGGCGTTGCAGAGGCTGCTGAAGCTGCTGCACATGAAAGTGGGAGAGGTTCTCAAGGCCGCGCTGTACGCTTTGCACGTTCTCGCACGCGACGTCCCATCGGCGGAGGCTATATGTCGAAGTGAAGGAGCTCTCGACCAGTTGATCATCCTGATTAGCAGCCTGGAGGATGCAGACGTGAGAGTCAAAGCAGCCACGACGCTGGCTTTCGCGACCGACTTGCGTAGAGAAAAGGAGAAAAGCTTTCTCGATCGCGAGAGAGCATGCAAAGTACTTGTGCGTATGCTGGAGGAGAAGCAAGTTCCGAACCTTCAATATTCCGCCGCCCATGCCTTGGCGAATGTTCCTGAGTACTACCACGACTTAGCAAAGCAGGAACAACCTCTCAAGACCTTGGCCATATTACTGCTGGGGAACAGAAATGCAGAGAGCGGAGAACAGAATGAAGGGGAGATGGTACATCGCGTCAAAGTAGCCACCATCTTCGAAGGGATAACAGCAGGTGGGGCCAATGAGTTGCTAATTGCCAAATGTCCAGGAGTTCTGGAAAACATGGTGAGAGTGCTCGAAGTGACCGAAGATAACCCTGTACAGCTGCAGCTCTCCATTGTCAAGTCATTACACGACATAGCCAAATCACAATCCGACCTAGTGATGAGAAGAATAACTGTTCTAGATTCCATAAAAGACTTGATATGCCTATTCCAAGGGCGGGATAATAGGGACGTCAGGTATTATGCATCTTCTGTATGCGCAGATTTACTTCGCAACGAGAAGGTGAGGGAAGAAATAAGAGGGAACGAAGAAAATCTGGATACGCTCAAGGCAGGGTTAAAATCATGTTTGGATGTGACTACTGTCGACAAAAGGACGACGCATCTCTTAATGTATTGTCAACTTAGGCTTCCAACCAGTTCGGGAGACTTTCATAGTAAACCACTTCATGTAGATCGTGAGGATATAGATCGTGAGGATAACTGCTGCTGTCTGTATCCGCTGTCTATTATTGGATGTCTATGATTTTTGAGATTCTAATACAAACAATATTGGAAAATAATATAGGATAACGTTTATAATAATTGATTATATTTAATTACATTTATTATTTGATTAATATAGATTTACAATTTGAATATTGTGCTAAAGTTGTTAATATCACATTAATATGGTAAATTATTTTTTCTATTGCCATCGTTCTTAATGTAATAAATTATAAAATAATGTTTAATTGAATCATAATCAATCAAATGATTGTAATTATTTTTACTACAAAGTTAAACCTCCCAATAGTGACATATATTGGTATTTGGATTTTACGTCACTATTGCGAGGTGTCACTCAACAGTAAAGTGCGTATAACCTACTAATAGTAACATAGATTGGTGTTAACATTAAATGTCATTGTTTGGAGGTTTATAATTTTAATTTAACCTTCTAATAGTAACATAAAATAGTGTTGGGGTTAGATGTCACTATTGGGAGGTGTCAATTATAAAAATAAAATTTTCATAGATTTCTTATCGTACATTGCATCAACCCTAAGATATTCTATAAATTTGTTGTTTGGATTTAAAATGGCCTTCATTTTCACATGGACATTATAATTACATTTAAATTTAGATTAATACACACACAATTAATGATAACATATGTAGCAAATTATGGGTTTAGTGTTAAAACCTAAACCCTTACTTAATTCCAGAAAGTGTGAATTGTTAAGATATAACTTCAAATATATTCATGCCCCCTTTTTTAGTGTCATAACTATGTATTGTGATAATGATAGGAATTTTTACTCTGAAATTACATTTGAAATTGTCACTATTGTATAGAATCATGTCACTCTTGGGAATAGTGACGAACCATTTTTATTGAGCAGATTTATGCATTAGAAACTAATGGTTTTGGGATTTTACGTCACTAATGAGAATATGTCACTCATAAGAGATACACTATTTGGAAGTTTAACTCTGTATTCACATATATATATTTTTTAAACATCCAATATATTAGAAAATTATTATTGATATGTATATTTTTTTAATAAATTTTTTTTTACTAATTTAATTGAGTGAAAATTCAAATTACATGTACTTACAATAATTATTGGAAAAAACTTAATTATTTTAGAGTTAATTATGTGATGGAAAAGAATAACTCTCATATAATATTATGAAAGTTATTCTTTTACTAATTTTTATTTTTAACCTTGAATCATTACATCAAACAATCAATATAAGATCATATAATTTAAGGAGCGAATAGCGTTAAACATATACACGATGGGCCCGATTGTGACAATAAACGAAAAATCCGAACATGGAGAAATAGCCAAGCCTTCAACTCGGCGAAGGTATCGGGGTCCTCAGCCAAGTACCTCTCGTCTCCGCAGGCTGCAACCAGATGTGGAGATTCGATGGCGGCAGAACCGCTTTTCGCACTTTCCGGATGCTATAAACTCGCCTTGTCATCTCCAGCATTTTCAATTGAACCAGTTTGGGATGAAGCAATTGTCTCTCTATCCATCTTTTCGTTTCGTAATCTCGCCTACAAGTGCTGTAATATTCCGCTCCGGCATCCACAGCGTGCGATCGTACACTGGAAGTTTTGTGGCACAGCTTCTCAATTCCATAAGTATATTGACCCGAGCGAATTTCCTCGGGGTGAAATTAGCACTTCTTCGTGCTCAAAATCTCGTTCCGATCTTTCTTGCTTCGCGGCCTTCGTGACATTCGCTGACCAGATTGAAGAACGATGGCTCTGCGCGTGGGATTCCTCGGCGCCCACGAGGTGGCGGAATTCGGCTCGATGGCGGGCTTCGAGTCCGTTCATCCGACACTCCTCGCGTCCGAAGTCGCGTTGTGATTCACTTCCGATCAGGCATGGTTGTTCCAGGCATTCGCGAGCCAACCCGGCTCGAGCGCTTTTGAATTCGACTGCATGGCGACGGTGGACACCACAGTGTTTGAGAAATTTGATGGCGCGGGCCCAAGTAACAAAGGATTAGATTCAGGGGTATAGTACGGTGAGGGATAACTACAGTAGAACCTGTCTAACTTAATACTGTCGGACCGGCCGTTTTGTATTAGTTTAGACAATTTATTAATAAAGAGAGATTCTCTCTTCCTGTCATTTGTGGTGGGACAGTTATTTGCACATTTACTAGAGTCATTGTTTCTGTATAAAAAGCTAAAGCCTAGAAGCGCATGCAGCGAATCGGCCCGGACATTGTCTTGGGCCTGTCTTGAAAACTGATTTCAATGTAAGGGTATAGGTCTCGATGTATCAACGAGTCATGTTTTGAGATTGAATTCTATTGAACTCTGTAGCTTTATAGCGCTTTAGTCAAAACCTGCAAGCTGCACTCTAGAGGAAAAAAAATCAAGACGGCCGTCACTTCTGCTTGAGTTGCTTCATTTGTAACAGTTGCGTTCACCCTGTATAGCAGACACAATCAGATGCACAACCCAATGGCTTCAAAAAGGTCCACCAAGATGAACATGACCAATGAAGTTCGGATAGCTATTTGTGAGCACAAGCATAAGCATCCATCATTGAGACAAGCAGACTTGATCAAATGGCTTCAAGACACGCATAAAGTTTTTGTCAGTCAAGGAACAATTTCTCTAACTCTCAAACGGTCAGTTGAAATCCTTGCCAAGAAGGAGGAGGTGAATCGAACGGCAAAGCGACATCAAACTTTGAAATATCCACTGATGGAGACAGCTCTGTACAAGTGGTTCCTCACATATCAATACCAAGTCAATATGTCAGGTGATCTCATCAAAGAGAAGGTTGCGTATTTTCTTGCCGAACTCTACCCTGGATACGTAGCCTTTGAGTTCTCAAATGGGTGGCTAGAGTCATTCAAGAATCGCCACACCATCAAGTCTACCGTCGCTTTGGGGAGTCTGGATCCGTCAACATGGCTCTGATCGAAGAGAGCTTGCCACAGATTCGTTTAACTCTGGATCAGTATGAGCGACGTGACATCTACAACATGGACGAAACTGGATTATTTTACAGAATGCAGGTAAAAGTATCGTGTACATTACTATATGCTCAATGCCAAATCATTGACTTACTTTCACTAACATATGACATCTCAACAGGCAGACAATTCCTTGGCCACAAAGCAGCTTGAAAGACGCAAACAAAACAAGGAGCGTCTCAAGCTGGCTGTGTGTTGCAATGCTAACGGCTCCGACAAGCTTCCACTTCTTGTCATTGGCTAATACGAAAATCCTCGCTGTTTCAAAAATATCAACAGAGACAGCTTTGGATGCAAGTACCGAAGCAACTCAAAGGCCTGGATGACACAAGTCATCTTTCTCGAGTGGCTGAAAGAGTTTGATGCGCGAATGGCAAGACGTAATGTTCTTTTGATTATGGACAACTGCAGCGCACATATCCGGTTAATGCAACTCCCATCTGTTGTTACACTCCGCAACTCAACCGTATTCTATTTGCCACCAAACATGACCTCAAAGATTCAGCCTTGCGATGCAAGAATTATCCGAAACCTGAAGTCTTACTATCGGCGCCGTTTTAATCGTCTTCTCATTCAACGCCTTCAAGACAAGGTAGCCAATTCCAAGAAGATCGACGTCCTTGAGGCTATGCGCATTGCTGTTGCCGCTTGGAGCATGGATGTGAAACCAGAAACAATCCGCAACTGCTTTCGTCATTGCCGAATTTGCACCATCGAGGCTGACGTGACATCGGTTTTGGAACAGTCGCTTATTGATCTTGATGTGATCAAGGATCTCGAAGAGCAGGTTCAAGAGCTTCGGTACCGGAATCCAATGGATATTTGCAATCTCATCGACTATCGTGCTGAACACGAAGTTGCTTATGTTCCGACTGAGGAAGAAATTGTGCAAGACCTCTCCATCGATCTTGTGCCAAAAGATGAAGTGTAGGCCGACAACAGTCAAGAATATATTTTTGTGAAGACATCTGAAGCACTGCAATGTGCAAGTTTGTTGAAGCAGTTCTTGATGCAGCAAGACATTGTCGATCATGAGATGATTGATGCCATTCAGACAGTCAAGTACAAGATTAGCACTATGAGATCTAGCAAGCTCATTCAGAAACCTATCTTGGGATAGTTTTCTAAGGTTTAGGTGCTCAAAGTGTCAAAAGATTTCTGCCAAATCTATAACCAACTTTTGAAAGATGAATTGCTCAAAATGTTTCCATTTTTTTATTTGACGTAAGAAAAATTACTTCTGTAAGTATCACAGGTTGTACATTTTCTAAAGAATCCATTGTTCATCAGATACTGTACAATTCGACGATTAGTTTGTTTTCTCATCTCGTTGTGCTAGTTGTCTCGGTCTGTTTTTTGTGAGCCTCATGTTATACTAAACTGAGCAACTTCTCCATGAATAACTTGTAGCTTATGTTCATGTTCCTGTTCGTGAGAGATAACATGACTGCAGTATCGATGCACATGCCGAGCATGGCTCCTTCAGGCCCTCCTCCTTTGCAAGCTCTAAGACCTGCGAGTCCAGGGAATGCGTTATGAAATCCAAACCCAAAACGCAAAAGCACAACACCAGATCAAAATCTGGCAGCAATGTCAGTTCACGCGCTCCTAAGCAACCTCGACAATAGTGTCCAAGGTCATAATTTTAAAAAGATCTTAGACATGATCAGTGACAAAAACTAGACCAATTAGTCTTTGCAAAAAAATTTTGCAACAAAAGCCTGTTAGATCTAGAGAACGTGAAGTCGCTCAGGAACGAAAACGCAAACGCACAACACCAGATCAAGAACTGACATTGCTGTCAGATTTGCCCTTGTACTCCATAGAACGAAATTGAGACGAGCTAGATTATGTGAACAGAAACACGAGGGATGAAAAACGGCAAGCTAAAAATTACAAAATAGACCAGACACACCTCGGGCTCCCGCAAGAGTCTGAAACAGTTGCCATATTTTTTCCGTCACAAATAATCAAGACCTTCACGAGGAGAAGAAAGAAAAGAGAGGAGGAGGTGAAGTGCTTTGTCAGATTCGAATGCGTGTCGAGAACACAAAGCGTTCTTGAAGTTCTTATTTCTTGAAGGGGAGAGAGGGAAGGCGAGAAAAAGCTCATACGTGAACAAATGAAGGTTTACTATGACAGAAGTTCACTCACAGTTCACGAAAGAACATAACATCTCACCCGCTACAGTATTATCACCATGTAATCTGAAGTGTGCCTGTGGAGTTCTTCAACAGAGGTCTTTCTAGGTTGTGCTTCTCCATGCGAGTTGAGCTTGTGATGCGATGAGCTTGTGAACAAATGCGGTTTGATGTTGTCTCATTCTTGACAAGGCTGCCGCGACGAATCAGGACAGTCAGGTCAGAATTTGGGTGACACATGGCTGCCACGAGAAAGAATGTGAGTCGGGATATGTGTCACGTCAGTTACGTGACACATGTCCTTCATATCCATCCACCTCAACTGCGGTTTCCGTCCGTCGCCACCCACGCAGAGGTTATTAATTTAAAACAGTTTTGGAACTGTGGAATATTAATTATTAACTTCCGGAGGTTATGAATAAGTACATGGGCCCGATTTGGGATTGGACTGCATGTATTAGTTATCACAAGTTATTAAGTTAGACAGTATTAATATAAACAGGTTCTACTGTAGCCGTTTTCGTAATTTAACATAAGATCATCAAATTGATGGAATACATTAACCCGGATCTAATGCTTCCTGGCTCACGGCTTACCGTCACCGTCGTGTGTAATGCACACCGTCAGACTTGTAATAACCCACTAAAGGCTAAAACTGCAATATAGTGGTAGAAAGGTCGAACCCACAGGGACAGAGGAACACACAGGGTACAAAGTGTCACGTTTAACAGACTATTGATGAGTTTGAATTCTCAGGCGACTGTCACTCCCAGAAATACTGCAAGTGTCCACTCGGAGCGCACTCGGAGGTCGCACAGTGCAGCGTAACACACACACACACACACACCTGAAACTACAGAAACACAACCTAGAGATCCGTTAGGACCTCTACTTCAAGATTTCAGGGGGAAAGTCTCTCAAGAGCACACTCGGCAAAGCTGCGGGCAGTGACTTCCAACTCCGGCTTTTACAACACTTCCACTAGCTTGCTGCTAGTGTAGGAAACCCGGTTTGGACTGCCTACTTCGGATCGAAGTCACTCATACGCGGTGAACAGCACTCTCAACTCACAAAACGCGCAGAGAACACAGGTCCGCACTGAAGGACTCACTGAGAAACATTCCAGTAACACAACAACAGTCTATTGAAGAGTTTGAATTCTCAGGCACTTGTCATTCCCAGAAATACTACAGGGGTTACCCTCAAGGCACCTGCTGCAGCGTAACCTGAATTTACAACCAAGGCTTACACGAAGTAGCAAAACTTCACTTTGGCATTCAGGGGAAAAATCCCAAGGAGTACAATCAGAAAGAAACACTCGAAGGTGTAGGGGCGAAACTGTTCAAGTATCTAACTAGTCACTGGCTCTGAGCATCGGCAGTCACCCGCAGGTGCAGATCCGAACTACTCAAGTCTCTAACCAATGTACTAGCTCTGAACATTCGGCCGAAGGCCTTCAGCTACAAAATGCGGAACGCTAAGTTGTAACTCCTCGTGCGTGGTGACAGAACTCAAGGACACAAACACGCAAAGGAAATGGGTTCCTGATCTGCACTTCTGATGGGAAAGAACCCCAGGCAAAACGCCTGGAACTATTTTATACCTTCTAAGTCCTACCTAACACTACACTGCACTACGCTACACGCCTGCACGGAACCACGCTACACTACACTCCGCGGAACCTGTACTACGTCTCCTGCGCGGCCGACTGCCGCGCACTAACTCTCTACTCTGCCACTCTTCCGCTCGACTGCGCAGTCCCAAACGCTGCAACGCCGCGGACACCTCCCCCTCGAGGGCGGACATGGTATCCTGTGCCTTCGACAGAAAGGCTTCGAGCTTCTTTGCTACCTTCCGCCGACTCCTACTGTCGCCTGACAACAACCCGGCTGCGCGCAATTCAAACTCACGCAGTGTGAGTTTCTCCTGCGCCTTCACTTCCCAGTGGGCGTAGCCCTTGAGGCAGTGGGCGACTCGCCTCGCCGTCTCCACCTTCG